TTGATTAGTTTTTTTAGGTGTATAGATTTTAGTAGGTTTATCCTATATTATACATCTACTATATGAGTAGGAAATAGAAGCTGTCATCAAAAGTCTCCCATCCAAAAAAAAAAAAAAAAAAAAAAAAGCCCAGGGCCAGATGGTTTCAGCGCAGAATTCTACCAGACCTTCAAAGAAGAGTTAACACCAATACTCTTCAAATTATTCCACAAAATAGAAACAGAAGGAACACTACAAAACTCATTCTATGAAGCCATAGTCACCTTGGTAACTAAACCTCACAAAGACCCAACAAAGAAAGAGAATTTCAGGCCAATATCCCTCATGAACATCGATGCAAAAATACTCAACAAAACACTTGCAAACCGAATCCAAGAACACATCAAAGATATCATCCACTACATTTTATATTTATAAAAATTTATTCACTTTGTATCCCAACTGTATCCTCCTCCCTCGTCTCCTCCCAATCCTTCCCTCCCTCTTCTTCTCTCATGCCCCTTCTTCAGTACACTGATAAGAGAGATCCTCCTCCCCTTCCATTTGACCCTAGCCTATCAGGTCTCATCAGGACTGGCTGCATTGTCTTCCTCTGTGGCTTGGTAAGGCTGCTCCCCTTCTCAGGGGAGAGGTAATCAAAGAGCCAGCCACTGAGTTTATTTCAGAGACAATCCTTGTTTCCTTTTCTAGTGAGCCCATTTGGAGACTGAGCTGCCATGGGCTACATCTATGCAAAGGTTCTAGGTTATTTTGGTCCATGGTTGGATTATCAGTCTCAGAAAAGACCCCTGGGCCCAGAATTTTTGCTTCTGTTGTTCTCCATGAGGAGCTCCAGTCCCCTCCAGGTCTTTCTATCTCACCCTTCTTTCATAAGATTCCCTGCACTCTGCCCAAAGTTTGGCTATGAATCTCAGCATCTGCCTCAATACCCTGATGGGAAGATAGACTCTTTCAGAGGCCCTCTGTAGTAGGCTCCTGTTTTGTTCCTTGTTTTTCACCCTCTTCCAATGTCTATCCTCTTTGCGTTTCTGAATGAGGACTGAGCATCTTACCCAAGGTCCTTCTTCTTGCTTAGCTTCTGTAGGTGTACAGATTTTAGAATGTTTATCCTATATTATATGTCTAATATCCATTTATGACTGAGTATATACCATGAGTGTCTTTCTGTTTCTGGGATACCTCACTCAAGATGATCTTTTCTAGTTCCCACCATTTGCCTGCACATTTCATGATTTCCTTGTTTTTAATTGCTGAGTAGTATTCCATTGTGTAAATGTACCAAAATTTCTGTAGCCATTCCTCAATTGAGGGACATCTGGGTTGTTTCAGATTCTGGCTATAATGCATAAAGCTTCCATGAACATGGCTGAGCAAATGTCCTTGTTGTATACTTGAGCATATTTGAGATATATGCCTAGGAGTCGTATAGCTGGATCTTGAGGTAGCACTCTTACTAATTGTCTAAGAAAGCATCAGATTGATTTCCAAAGTGGTTGTACATGTTTATATTCCCACCAGCAATGGAGGAGGACTCCCTACATCCTCTTCAGCATGTGTTGTCACTTGAGTTTTTGATCTTAGCCATTCTGACAGGTATAAGGTGAGAAATCTCAGAATCGTTTTGATTTGCATTTCCCTGATGTCTAAGGACATTGAGCATTTCTTTAAGTGTTTCTCTACCATTCTATATTCCTCTACAGAGAATTCTCTGTTTAGCTCTGTACCCCATTTTTTAATTGGACTACTTGATTTGTTGCTGTTTAACTTCTTGAGTTCTTTATACATTCTGGATACTAGCCCTCTGTCAGATATAGGGTTGGTGAAATCCTTTCCCAGTTAGTAGGCTGTCATTTTGTTCTGATGACAGTGTCCTTTTCTTTACAGACGCTTTTCAGTTTCATGAGGTCCCATTTATTGATTTTTGCTCTTAGAGCCTATGCTGTTGGTGCTCTGTTCAGGAAGTTGTCTCCTGTGCCAATGAGTTCAAGGCTCTTCCCTACTTTTTCCCCACAGGTTTAGTGTGTCTGGCTTTATGTTGAGGTCTTTGATCCACTTGGACTTTAATTCAGATTCAATGCAATTCCCATCAAATTACCAACACAATTCTTTACAGACCTGGAAAGAAAAATTCTCAACTTCATATGGAATAACAAGAAACCCAGAATAGCTAAAACAATCCTCTATAATAAAAGGGACCTCAATCCCTGTTTTCAAGCTGTAGTATAGAATAACAGTAATAAAAACTGCATGGCACTGGCACAGAAACAGACTGGTGAATCAATGGAATCAAATAGAAGACCCAGAAATAAGCCCAAACATTTATGGACACCTGATTTTTGACAAAGATGCCAAAACCACACAATGGAGAAAAGATACCATCTTCATGAAATGGTGCTAGTCTAACTGGATGTCTACATGTAGAAAAATGCAAATAGATCCATACTTATCACCCTGCACAAAACTAAAGTCCAAGTGGATCAAGAACCTCAACATAAAACCAGACACACTAAATTGGTTAGAAGAAAAAGTGGCGAAGAGCCTTTGAACTGATTCAATCTCTCTTTTAAAGTTACATATTGCATAGAAGCTTTTTAATTCTCTCTGTGCTGAAGAATGAAATGATCCTTCAAGAAAAATGACGAGACTTTTTTTTTTCATTAAAACAACTGAAAACCTTTGTGTGGTGGTGCATTCCTGTAACCCTCAGTACTTGACAGACAGATGAGCAGGAGGATCAGACACCCTCATCCTCAGCTACAGTTGGTTTGAGGCCAGTCTCTGCTATATGAGTCCTCGTGTCAAAACACTTTTAATGAGAGAAATGAAGTTTTTAAAGTTAGCAGCCACTTGCAAGTTATAGGATGAAAGAAGAATAAGCATTGAAAGGAAAAGTGTACATTTGGGGTGAAACAAAAATATAGAACTTATCTTAGCACCCTTAGTTATTTGGGGAATCCAATAATGAGCCACGACAGCATAGCCATCTCTGGAACGCCTGTGGAGGGGTGACAGTGCTCTGTCCTGCAGTACAGTGAGTTTACAAGGAGATGATCATGAATAACAAAGAGATCCCTACACAGATCCCTCCTCCAAATGACCTTACCAAGCCAGGATTTTGTCAGCGTACATTTCTCTCCCCTCGCCAAGTTTAGAGGACTCTGTCTATATTTTAGTATTAATTTCTACAATACGAATTCCAACGCTGCATTTTCAGGGACTATGAAAAATAATATATTCTACTAATCTCCCTCATGTGCTGGTTAACCATCAGGGTGACTAAGCATATAAAGTGACTCTGGTAAAGTAACTCTACTCACCATAGGGAGCTATGTCTTCCATGGTTCAAAGAATTAGTATTTGAAAATGTTCTTATACTTACGTTTGTTGAAAAGGTAAGGTAAAGGTATCCCCATACAGGGACCTTGCCAATAGGGAAGGCACAGAGAGTGGGAGAATTCAATCATCAAATATGAAAACAGTGTTCTCATCAACCTTGAGGCATGCGATAAGATACTACAGGGATTCTACAAATGGGAGAAGTGGTCCATAGACACATGTGATGTCATTTTCAGTAGAACAATACCTAAACATGGAAAGACAAGCTGGAGATCTTTCCCTCCCCCTCCCTCTCTATCACCTACAAATAAACATACTCTTTCTCTGAAAGTTAGATATAAGGAGAACCCCCACAAAAAAAGAAATTACATTTCCTTACACTATTATAGTATATCATGGAAGATATTTCCACACTGGAGACTGGCTCATTTAGCATATATGTCTACCTACAGATAAGGCCAAATACCGTCCCAAGAAGAGGCCAGCATGAAAAGACACAGTATCAGTTTCTGTACACCCTCCCTATGTTACAGGTCTATCTAAGGAATCTGGTACAGCTATTTCCCTCCTTAGAATCAAAATTTAGATTTGAGGAAGGAAAACACTAAGGAATGAACTCTGATGGACCATATAGCTAATTCCTTAGGTCCAATGGCAGGCAGGTGCCTCTCACGTCTCAGGAGATGGGTACAAAATATCTTTAATTCTTTTTATGCCCTCTTTCTCCTCAGCCTTTGTGTGTGCTTGCACCACACACATGTGCACATACATACATACACACACACACACACAGACACAAATTATGATCTTGCTGAACAGCAGGGTTGTTAATAATAAGTAATCCTATAATTCCCAACGTTCCACTTAAGAGAATAAATATAAGTCCTTTCTGCAAAAGGAGCATTTTATGTGTCATCATCATTTTCTACTCTGGATAAGTTATTCAGAATTGTTAAATGTCCTTTGGACATAAAAGACAGGAGCACTGAAATGACATGAGTATTTGCATTGTGGTAAGATATGTTACAATGTTCCAGCCTGCTGCTAAGATTTTTACAAATTTATGGGTAAAGACAAAGAAAGACTTCACTGGAAGTGAATAAAACTAAATGCACAAAAACTCATACTTGAGGGCTTTTATGTCATGAGAATTGCAGAATTTTCCAACAATAAATAGAATTTAACTGAACAAAGATAGGTCTTTCTTCCAAAAACCCTAAGCGTAAGCTTTTAGATATAACCTTATTTGAAAGAGGAAAAGACAAAACCTGAGATGGGTTGATTCTAATATGAAAAGATTGAGTAAACCATACAAAGGTTTGGTTTTTTTATTAAAACAAGGATATTTTTCTAAGAGTTTTGCAGTATTATTCAGTGTGTTCTCAAAGACAGTCATCTTGGTCTCATTTCCAGAGCCGCTGAATTACAGACATAGTCTATTGGCTGTTAAAGTGTAATTGGTCTTTTTTTATGCTGAAATAGATAATCTTGACAAAGAGAAAACTAGTTTCATGTGAAATGACCACTATAAAAATGCCCGTGGACTTTGAAGTCTTCAGACTCAAATTGTCATAACCATCCTCTTGAGGAAATTACAATGTCTGAGAACAAACATTTCAATTTCACTTGAAAACTCACTAACGCCTCTTTATTGGTTTTCATAGCAAGAGAAACTTGGCGACATCTGCTTCTCTCTCCGCTATGTCCCTACTGCCGGCAAGCTGACTGTTGTCATTCTGGAAGCGAAGAACCTGAAGAAGATGGACGTGGGTGGCTTATCTGGTGAGTCCACAGTGACTATTGATTGCTGGAAACGCTGTCTCGCCGCGGATACAGAATGCATAGCACACACGCTGTGGCTCCCCACTCCTTAATTGATCGCAGCTCTCTCTCCTACAGAGCTGAAAGCAGCCTCAATTCAGCCAACGCAGTGCCCCAGGAAGCCACTCTTAGTTTATTGGAATTGGCAAAGAAGATGAAATCTATTTTCCTTCGCCATAGCCAAAGTATCAGCTGTCATTTCTATGTCACTGAAAGCTAAAATGTTGGCTTCTTATTTGAAAGGCAATGCCTGTGACAAATTATAGTTTTGAGGATTTTTTAATTCACCCTCAGTATTAAAATTTCTATTTTACCTGAGACTTATTAAGTTAGGTATTTGCTAACCTGACATAATTTTTCTAACACCTTTTATAAAAGACAGCATTTCAAATCTATACAAGTGTCTTTGTCTGTGAAGAAACCCAGGAACAGTTTGTTTAATTCTTTTAATTCAACAGCTTCAGACTAGGCTTTGGGCTTGAAAGTTCCCAGTAACCCAAGCAGGACATAACATAGTAACGGAAACTCTTCCACAAAGCAAAGTCAGCTCAAGGACTCACCGCTTCCAGGGCTGATGGTAATTTTTTCCTCCTCTGTGTGGTTAAATCAATTATAATTTTAATGTTCCACTGAATCATTAAGGTGTAAGGGATTTTCCTGACACACCACAAGGTCATCACAAATAGATGACAGCTGTCATTGTTTCTAGCTCTGGAATTTCAACAGACATGACTCTTTATTCTGTGATTTTTTTTTTTTTCTGATAAAAAAAAATAGTTCTAAACATTACACTAATGCAGCGTGGTAAGTTTATACCATGAAACAAAACATCTGAAAATTGTTGAAGCTGAATTCCATTTATTGACCCAGTGATTTAACAGCCAAATCCTCCTGCTATCTGCATTTATTTCTTTGAATAAATAAGGGACCTTGAAGAAGCCATATTCTTTCATGTCACTAAGACCCTCCTTAATGTCTTGCTTTCATTTCTAATTATGTAAATTTGAAGCTGTAATGTAATAAGCATAGTTTCTCCTAAAAATATGTAGAATATTTTATGTGCTTCTTTGTAAAACATATGCACAGAAAAGTATTAAAAATTTTACAAGTACAGTTTACTTCCAGATCACGAATTAGCATCCTAAGGAGACTTAAGATGCCTTTGACCTCTCTCTTTGCCCTGGCTAAGTAGCCATGCCGCATTAGGAGTGGATCTGTAGCACTCATATCTTCTCCAGCCACTCCAAACATCCATGAGAATCACATCCGCTGTTCAGGGCTGCCCTTAACTCCCTCTTAATTAATACTGTGTTATCCTCTGTAGAGCTTCACCACAGCTTTACCGAAACACTATTAAAACATCCTTGCTCTGGCTTCATTTGGGGACATACAAAAGACTTCCCACCACCACAGACAGCTACTTCAGCTCATCCTCCTTCAAGACTGTGGTCCTTTTTTTCTCTGATCTCTTTGCCAGTCATCCCTTCTCCCCTTCAGGAGCTGTATGAGGAAAACTGGTCTAGTGGAATACGTTTCTGAGTGGTTACAGTCAAAGGCATGAACAGGAGCTCACTGCTAGCAACCCAAGCAAAGAAAAGCACCAAGGAGGACTCCTGGCACCTGTCACACTAACTCAGCATTGTTACACAAAAAAGGCACAGCCAGAGGTCAGATCTAGTTGAGTATCCATCAGACTGTAGTCTTTTTTTCTCTCTCTCTAAAGAAAAGCAAAAAAAAAAATCATAGCAGCTTCAGAACGTACTGAACCTAGATCCACCCCCATATTTGAATTACCTGGAATGATTATAATCATTAGCAGACCCTAATTTTAAGGGCTTCCTGCTGCCTGTAGAATTAAATCATAATTATCCTAATCACCTAATGTAGACACTTTCAAGCTATGCCATTCTGCAGCCCATTTTAGCCAATGGACCAGCACAGTCATCTCATAACAAGCCATGGAACATGCTGCTTCCATTCTTAGACAATTTCCTTCATCTGGAATTCTCTTTCTTCCAACAGTGTCTAGCTAAACCCTCCTCTCTCTTCAAGCCCAGCTGAACACTTCTTATTCCTTCCAATTGCTCAACAAATGTGTACCATGACTATACTTTGAGTCAGGCATCAAGCTGAGCACTGGGTTAGCAATGGTGGATAAAACAGTCCAAAGACCCTGCTCTCCTGCAGTTTTCATTTTAATGTAGGGAGACAGACAAAGAGCCAATAAATTAATAAAGCATGCAATGCCCTGAGATGTCATAAACAGTAGGTAGAAAGGAGGCGAGGAAGTTGGATAAGCCAAGTTAGGGAAGTTCTGGGGTTTTGTTATGGTCATAGTTGTTATTTTAATGAGGAGATCAGGAAAGATCACATGAGTAGCTAACATTCCAGGCAACAATAGGGCAGAAATGGGGAAGTAAGCCATGGCTTCATGTGGGGCACGAGGTGGTTTAATGTGGTAGGAATGCCTTTTCTGATCCATCTCAGCAGAACAAATCTTTGTCTTTTGAAATTGCCACTAGCAGTTTGTTTACAGTCCTCTAACACCACACTTCTTTCTCACTAGACTGTTCTGTATTTATGTCTCCCACAATGCTCTCACTGAGCATAGCTGCTGAATGAATAATGAATTATTTACAGAGGAGCTGTGGCCTGAAAAGCCAGTCTTGCATTTCAAAGTTGCTTAACCTACTTACCATTAAAGCAACTTTAAGTACTTGAATGTGTTGTCTCAGAGTAAGTTGACCTATGTACAAACAGACCACAGTTATATAAGATCTCATTCCAAGTGATTCCAAATGCCAAACTACATTTGCCAGAAATGGCTTGTTAACTGGAACCAAGGCTGGCTCTTCTGCCAGAGTTGAAAGCACACTCTGCCACTACTAACAATCGGGCTTTGTTTTGAGGTCCGAGAGCTCAAACTCAGTAAGCACTCTAGCACAGAGCCACATGTTGACATTGGACAGGTTATTTCTTCTTCTAAGCCTCTGCTGCTTTGGTGACAAAGTGGAAGTGCTAAGAAGACTCCATTAAAGGCTTATAATGAGAAATAAGTGAGAGCCAAAGTTAAGTGCTTTACCAAAGATCACTGTGGAGATTTCAATTAGTAACTTTATCAAAGCTTCGAAATGTGAAATCAATGGAACATTTAACCAACTGCTTGATTTGGCATTGGTTTTGGTGGGGGTTGGATCTCAGCTATTTGATAGAGGAGCCAGATCAGTTCTGGATAATCAGGAGTCGAGTTTTATACAGGCTCATAGTGAATTTAGACAATGCTAGGAACTGATCAATAAAACATGAAAGAAAATAGGAAATGGACATTTAAAAAATGTTTTTCTTACTGGTCTCTGGCAAGATCAGGTAGTTTCTTTCTCACTGTAGTCATTCAAAATGGACAACATAACAATTTTTGCCTATATCATACTCACATTGGAAATGTTCAGTTCCAGTTCTTCGTTCTCATGATGGCAAGTATAATTGGACTACTCAGAAATCTGCAGCAGATTCATTTTTTACTTTATTTTTGAGAATTTTCTACATGAGTGTTTATATAATTCTACCCCATCCTACCCCCAACTCCTCCCATGTCCCGCACTCAAGTTCCCAACTCGTCTTCTTAATCTATTATCCCTATGTATGTAAGATTATACATATAACACACATACATATATAGTAGATACAACCTGCTAAGTCCATTTAGTGTTACATGTATCTGTTTAGAGCTGACTGCTTGGGATTTGATAACCTGTCAGGTGTTCATCCCAGGAGGAGACTCTCTTAGTGGGAGTTAATTGCCTGCAGCTCTTCTTCTAAACGTGGGACATTATGAGATTTGCCCCATCCAAGTTGGCACAATATGGTTACCTCATCCATCCTACAGACAAGACTGTTCTTCAGGAACAAGGGCAATAAGCTTGGAAATAATTTTTTTTTTTTTTTGCCTGTTGCTTAGAGAAAACTAAGTCTTCATTATAGTAGTATTACATCTAATGCTGCAATCTTACCGCCGTCCTTTACACATCTGTGTGTTAAGAATGAGACCCCCCAGCCCAGTGGTTAAAAGTACATGCTGCTCTTGCAGAAGACTTGTGCACAATTCCCAGCCCCCAGCTCACAAATCCCTGGGAGTCCAGCGGTAGAGGATCTGACTCTTCTGGCCTCCATGAGCATTTCCCTCATAAGCACAGGCACACGCATGCTTACATAATTGAAAATAATAAAACTAAATCCATACAGCCAGGCATGGTGGTACACACCTTTAATCTCAGCACTTGTGAGTCAGAGGCAGGCAGGAATCTCTGAGTTCAAGGCCAGCATGGTCTACAAATCAAGTTCCAGGACAGCCAAAATATACAGAGAAACCCTGTCTCAAAAATACATACATACATACATACATACATACATACATACATACATACATACATTCAAAAAAAAAAAAGAATGGATCTCCTTTTTCTATTTTGTGCTCATGAATATTACAAAAAGAAAACTAAAAGCTCTGAGAAAGACAAGGCATTGGAGGAGTTGAGAATTCTTAACCCCTAATGTGGAATATTTCTAATGTACCATTTAGCTTTTTCTACATAGCCATCTTCAAGATGGAGAACATGGCTCCTAGGTGCTTCCACTATCTGGAACTGAAACACGAAAGTCCTCAGAATAGGTAAGGCTGAAAATGGAGCCTGGGAGAGTTGTTGGAAATTAGAACATTCTTAGAAGCTGGAGGAGTCTGGTAAGTATAAATCCCAGGGAATATGCTCACTCAACGAGCTCTCCGTTTTCTTGTCTTCTAAGAATCACAAGTAGATTCTCTCATCTCACCTGAGGCTTCTGGCAGACTGTCCTCCTTCCCAGGCTCCACATTAAAGAGAATGTTGCACCATAAAGCTGTTCCTTTCCTAGTTTCCTGTAGTGAGCCCACCGTCCTTATGAACATTTTTCTGTCATATCACTGC